GTAATAACGTTCCCAGAAAATATACACTAAACAAATCATAAGAGACCTGAAACCAGGGGAAAAGAAAGGGAAAGAAAGAAAAAAGAAAAATATAAAAACAAACAAAAACAAAACAAAACAAAAAATCACAGAATATGATCAAATATGATCAGCCTGGTGCATAGAGCAGTGCCACACACTACTTTTTGGGTGTATTTTAGTCTTTTAGAAGAAAGTGCCTCCCAAATTTTAAAGAAAGAAAAACTTATATATGTACAAAAATAAGGGTTAATACTATTAAGGATGGCATATGACTGTAAAGATGAAAATTATAAAAGATTTTATAAAAGGAATTGATAAGATGTTGGTTGGAAAAAGAAAGAAGAGGATTTAAAAAAAAGGGGGGAGTGAATGTGATCAGGCAAGAGACTAGAACAAAGACATACACTAGAGATTTAGGGTATATTTGATCTGTTAGAAGAAAGTGTATCCAAAAATTTTAAAGAGAGAACAACTTATATATATATATATATATATACACACACATACATACCAAAAATAAGGGTAACTACTATGAAGGGTTAGAATATGACTCTAAAAATGAAAAACAAAAAAGATTTAATTAAAAAAGGGATTGATAAGATGTTGGTTGAAAAGGGAAAAAGAAATTTTCATAGAAAAAAAAAGACAGATAAAAAAATATTAACTTTGAAAGACTAAAGAATCATGGTAAAAAAGCCATGAATTCTATGTGCGGTATTCCCCTAGCGCTGGAGTTCTGCCGTTATCATTGATCTGTAAACTTGATCTTGGCTGTCTGTTCTTGCTGATCTTCTGGGGGAGGGGCCTGTCGCAGTGGTTCCCAAATGTCTTTGCAGGAGTTGGAATTGCCCTGCCCTTGCCTGGTCCAGGCTAAGTAATCTGCTCGGGTTTGCTCTTGGGAGCTTTTGTTCCCTGCAAGCTTTCCATACAGATTTGGAGGACGAGAGTGAAAATGGTGGCCTCCCCGTGTCCCCCCACCAGAGGAGCCGAGAACTCGGGACCCCACTCCTCATTCAGCCCCCAGAGAAAAGCAGTCAGTCACTCCTCTCTCCCTGGTCTCCGGCCGCACTCCCTGCTCACGCAGCCTGTGACCGAGCGTTTTTATCTCTGGCACCCGACCCCCTTTGGAGTCTCCAAACCCAGCAGAGTCCTGTGGTGTGCTCCCGCATCACTCCTCCTGGGGGAGGAAGGGGAGTCTCCCCAGATCTGCCACTTGTTGGGTCCCTGCTGGAAGAGATCCGACTGTGCCGCAGATCATGGTTTATAGGCAACCCCGAGCTGAGAGCCCACTCCTTGTCTCTGTCTCTGCAGCCAGCTTCCCCGCTCTGATCCCTGGGAACTCTGCTGCCCTCAGGCACCCCCAGTCTTTCTGTGACACCAAGGGTCCTGAGACCACACTGTCCCAGCGAGGGTTCCACCTCCCGTTTAGCTACTGGAGCGATGTCCCTCAGCAGAGCCAACTTCTAAAAGTTCCAATTTTGTGCTCCGGGGCTCTATCACTTGCCAGAAGTGGCCCACGGAGGCCCCCTCCCCTGCTGTTTATCTTCTCGAATATCGCCTTGGATTCACTTCTTTGCACGTCCTACCTTCTAGAAAGGGGTTGCTTTTCTGTTCAGAGAGTTGCTGCTATTCTTTTCTTCAATCTCCTGTTGAGTTCATGGGTATTCAGAACGGTTTGATCCCTATCCAGCTGAATTCCTGGGACCAGACGAAATCCAGGTCTCTTACACCTGGGCTAAGAGGTTTAGTAAACATCAGAATATAAATCTTATTGGAACGATGCCAAAATCCTGTTATACCCAAAACCAGTTTTCATCAGCTGACAAGAATACAGTAATTTACAGTGATGCATTTTAAGGGCTTCCTGCAGTCATGAACATTTTAATTTACTTAAGAAGTTATGTTATTTTACATAACATATTTGCATAAGATGTTACCAAGAAAAAAACCAGACCCTGGGAAACATAGAATGAAAACAGTTTATTTTTTTATTTTTATTTTCTTAAGATTTCTAATAAGTGAGAGAGAGAGAGGGAATGAGCTGGGGGGAGGGGCAGAGGGAGAAGCAGCCTCCCTTCTGAGTAGGGATCCTGATGTGGGGCTCCATCCCAAGACCCTGGAGTTATGATCTGAGCTTCCCAGGACCCTGGGATCATGACCTGAGCCTCCTAGGGCCCTGGGATCATGACCTGACCTAAAGGCAGTTGCTTAAATGACTTGAGCCACCCAGCACTCCATGAAGACAGTTTTGAAACATGGAGTTGGGGCAGTTTTGGGGCTGTGAATGCTGGCTTCTGGGGAGCAGAGGAATCGTCCTTACTAGAAGTCATAGTACTTCATCCATCCTGTGTTTTCAGCATTCAGTAAATGTTTTCCAAATTGTTTTTGCTTAACATCAACTCTTTAAGTAGAAATAGATCAATAATTCCTTGTTTCTGTTCATACATGTCTAAGGAAAAAATTGTGTTTCCCCTAGAAATGTTAATACCATGAAAAACATTTTCCATGAGCTAAAAAGGTGTAGAAATGAAATTTTTTCTTGATGTCTTTGTTAACTCCTGGGGGAAATTACTTTTAAAGGACTCAAACATTATTTTTAGAGTTTCCATATGTCAGGATTGAAAAATTCTTCCAAAGAAATAGTATTTGGGGTCTTTTTTGCTTGCATTATTTTATATTTAATATCTGGTGTTTAGAAGCATAATGCCTAATTTCACTCCAACAGGCTCCTTTATTTCATACCGGTTTATCTACTGTGTCTCGGCTTCTTGCATTTAGTTTCTACTTCTATTTTTTTCATCTGCATCAGTTCACGTCTAACTGAACTCTGACATTTATGGTGCTGTTCATTTCTCATACCACAATGCACTAACGATTTCTTTTTACTAGGTAGTTTGCACTGAAATTGCCACCTGATTATCTTTTGTCCCTTGCAACTGTGTAGTTGGGTTACTTGTAAGTCTATGTGTCGAGATTTTTAATTGGTCTTGATGTGGTCCATTAATCATTTGATACATTTATAAAAGAGGCTTCTTTTACTTGCCTAGTGCATAGACTAAATATTTTAAGATGTACCCTTTCTGTGTCATCTTAACAGATGTTCTATCAATTTTCTTTCATTCTTTTAATGTCCATTTAAGCCAAGAACACAACTCCCCACAAATTAATTTCCTTCTCTACACTGCCTGAACAAATGATAAAATGAAAAAGAAACAGCTTCAATGAACGGTGTGAATCACAGCACGAGGCACTTATATGTAAGGGCCTATAGTTACCAACGATGTAAATAAAAATGCTTTTTTGTATGAGGCATCACAGTCATGGGTTTTGTAAAATCCACCAGAAGGGTGGATTTTAATAAAATGGCAAAACGCTTCATCTAAGCATGTGGTGTGTTAGTATTGGAGGTGGGACTGATGGCCACCATTGTAAGTGAAAGGCCCAGAAATGTCTACTCATTATTTCTGTTGAATTCCTCCAGCTTACACTACCTGCCTTTGTGATGTTTAGCTCTTCTGGGTTTTCTTCCCATTAGATCAAAATTTCTCCATTGATCTAGCAAATTGGTCATTTTACTGCTAGGAAAAAATGTAAAATGTCTTTCCTATTTTTTGGTAGGATGTAGTCTTGGATTAAAAATATAATTTTTCTATGAAAACATATAAAATATAACAAAGCTACATATGAAATATAACAATGCCAGACATGACTAGTTGTGTTTTAGTTACTATTAAAAAGTTGAAGTCAAATTTCCCAACAGTTGTGCCTTGACTAAATGACTTCCCATAACTACTACCTACTTTTGCTTTATAGCTCTTCTACTGTGTCATGAATCCATTTTTTAACATAGAAATATGTTAAAGTTGTTCCTAGCAATTTAAAAAGTTCGTGTAATGTTCCAGAAAGAACATCATGCTGGGGGTTGAGTGGCCTAAATTCTCATTGTATCTCTGAGAGTTATTCAGTTCAACCTCCCCCAGCCCGAATTTCTTCATCTGTGGAACATGGAGCCTGAGCCTACTGATCTGTGGGATATTTTCCACCCTGACTTTCCTAAGACTCTATTACAAATATCTTGCAGGCATTCCTGAGGGCTTTCATGAATTTTATGACCTTATAATTTATCTTTTACCACTGTTTAGCCTAGTGCCTTACTTAGAATTGAAGACTTTTAAAAGTCTTTATTACTTAAACACAATGTGAAAGCTGAAACAAATACAGTTTGCCAAATATTATTTATTTTATCATGATTCTTGTAAATCCAGATGGTGAGGAAGAGCAACAAGGGGTAAGTACAAAGATCCAACAGCAAGGAGAAGAGGTCAGGTCATCTCATAAAGTTGTTTGGGAAATGTCATCACTTAGGTATTATTGGAGATCATTGTGCCCTTAAATAGTTATATAGATTTCTTTTTCATATTAATAGAAGAGTCATGAATAGACTGCATAACTGTATATGCATCTATTAGCTATTTACTATTTAAACAAATTCAACTGTAAAAGATCTGTAGGTTTGGAAATCTTGACCTAAATGTGAGTTTTTAAAAGGTATCATAGCACGTGTTATAAGAAACATGTTTTTCCTGAAATTAACAAAGTAACTTGTAGCAAATTTTATGATGTGTATGAAAGTTTGGAGGAAACAATTTTGTGAATGGTTCAAATACAATTTGTAGTTTTATATATGTCTATTGCAGTTAGTAAATAACATATGAAGCAGACTCCATAAGGTTTAGAAATAATTCCTTCTTACTAACTACTACTTTTCTGCTTTGCAAACCAGCTATGTATATTTTTGGTTTCTTTGCAAGCAGGCACAAACATACACAAGCACCTGTACATTCTTAATAGATTTTGTGTAAATAATTGGAAACAAATTCTAATTAAGCAACATATTTAAACATATTTCCTTTTTTCCTTTACTATTAACAATTTTTAGAGTAATTTTTAATTTTGATATAATTTTTCATTCTCTTTAGCTCCTCCGCAATTCACAATAATCCCCAAGGATCAAGTGGTGCTAGAAGGACATACTGTAGAATTTTTCTGTGAAGCTGAAGGCAACCCACCTCCAATAATTGCCTGGACCAAAGCAGGTATTAGCATATGGACAAGTGATTGTGAAAAGAGATAAATACCTTCTTTATTATGACAGGATAAAAAACAGTTTAAATTAATTATCATAGGTATATTATGGACATGAAAACATCACAGAAAATGTAATCTTTGAATTAAATATGTCATCATAATTTCTGTTATATGTTAAGTTTCAACATTTGAATATGTGGCCTTCCTCAGATAATCTCTCTGAGACTCAGTTTCTTCATCTATTTTTTTTTTAATTCATTCATTCTCCCACACCTCTTCTCTCTGGCAACTACCAGTTTGTTCAGTTTCTTGAGATTTATTTATTTATTTATTTATTATTTTAAAAGATTTTTTTATTTATTTGTCAGAGAGAGAGAGAGCACAAGCAGGGGGTGTGGCAGGCAGAGGGAGAAGCAGACTCCCTGCTGAGCAAGGAGCCCGATGTGGAACTCGATCCCAGGACCCTGGGATCATGACCTGAGCTGGAGGCAGGCACTTAACTGACCGACCCACCCAGGTGTCTTAGTTTCTTGATTTTTAAAATAAAATTATTGGACAGTTAGTGGTTTTAAATATTTTTTAAAGTGGCAGAGTTCTCTTTTTGTACAAAGTGTAATTGTAAGTGCAGTGAAACCAACTATAAGTAAAACTCTAGCATGTTCAGTGGATAAAAGAGAGCTACTTTTGGTGGGGGTGTGGGGCGCTTGGGTGGCTCAGGAGATTAAGTATCTGCCTTAGGCTTAGGTCATTATCCCAGGGTCCTGGGATCAAGCCCCATCTCAGGCTCCCTGCTCAGTGGGGAGTCTGCTTTTCCCTCTCCCTCTGCCCCTCCACCCACTTGTGCACGCTCTCTCAAATAAATATTTATTTATTTATTATTAATAATATTTATTTATAAATATAACATTTATTTATAAGTATATTAAGTTTATTTTTATTTATTTTTAAGTATTTTTATTAATAAGTATAAAATAAATATTAACTTATTAATTAATAAATAAATATTTATTTGTGAGAGAGAGTGTGTAAGAGAGCATGAGTGAGTGGAGGGACAGAGGGAGAGAATCTTTAAGCAGACTCCCTGCTGAGCATGGAGCCCCACATGGACTGGATCTCACCAACTCATGAGATCATGACCTGAGCCAAAACCAAGAGTTGCTGGCTTAACTGACTGAGCCATCCAGGTGCCCAGAGAGCTGCTCTCTTTTAAGTGTTGAGGGGGATGCGGGGTGCACCTGAGAGGCTGGGCACTTCCAGTGATCCCTGGGGTGTTAGAGATTAAGGTCTACATTCTGAGAAGAGAGCTCCTCTAAGATTTCTCTGGTCTTGGAATTGCTAACTTTTATATTAGTTCAGGTAACTAGGTTAAATTCTAAACACATCAAAATTGTGAACGTCTTCTGGCTAAAATTTTTGCTCTCATCTTTGTAAGAGTAGAGTGGGTAGGAGGTGAACTTTGAAGCTGGAAAGCCAAGATTCACATTTCCCTCCTTCATTTACTAGTTTCATGACCTTGGGCAAGTAAGTTAACTGTGGTTTTACTGGAGTTTCTTTATCTATATGCTGGGAGTGATTTGGGGATTATTTTGAATGTATACACATAAATATTTAGAAGAGTATTTGGCTCATTTGTGTACATGGTCAATAAGGTTAACTATTTACAAAGGCAAATCATTTTTAAAAATTTATTATTTATTTTAAAATTTATTGTCCATTTTTTATTTATCATTTTTTTGTTAACAATAAAGGTTAACTATTTACTTTTGATGGTAACATATTGTTACTGAAATACTTGAGAATGACAATCCATTAACTTGTTAATGGCCACAAGGAGTGTAAACTCAGTATAAACTCAGAGGTGATAAAGTGCAATGTTGGCTGGGTGGGTATAACTGTGAGGATTAGCAACCTGAGTGTCACAAAAACCACCATTATCGAGATTCTGTCTCAGCACCTTAAATGTTGTAATTCCATAATGTTTTTATATTACAAATATTGCATACATGTGACAAATGTGATAAAGATATTTGAAAATTGTATTTAGTAATCATTTTGGGGGTAATCTAGGAATAAAAACTGTTATTAAAAATAAAAAATGCAAAAACAATTCTATCCAAATTTTGCCTTGTTTGCACTCCATTAAGTAAAAAGTGGGAGTGATGAGGCTATAGAAGTAGGTGTGGTTGGTTAGCCTGTGCAATGCCTTGCATGCCCCCTTAGGCATTTTATAGCTTGTTCTAAGAGTAATAGGAAGCAAGGGTAATGTTGGAATAAGGTTAGTTTTGAAATTTGCACTCTAACTATGGAAAATAAAACTGAGGGGGCAAACATGAAGGTGGAGGAAATCATTAAGGGAGCTGACCAGTTCTCCTGCAGGGGGCTGGTCAAGGGGTGTGCCCCATTTCCCAGATGCAGCGTTAGGAGGAGCGGTCCCAGTATTGTGACATGGAGGATTTCCAGAGAGATCTCAACTTTTACCCACCCCCAGAAGATCACACAGTAATAGTTTTCAGCTTTTTGAGCCATAACAATGCCATACAAAGTATTTTCTTTCCCTCTTTGCAGGAGGGCAGTTCCCTCAGGAAGGTCTGCATACAGTTTTCTCCTCTGGAACTTTGAGAATTGACCATGCAGCACATCATGACCAAGGCCAATATGAATGTCAGGCAGTAAGTCCATTGGGAGTGAAAAAAGCATCTGTCCAGCTGACTGTAAAACCCAAAGGTAATGTGTGCTGTGACTGGGTTTACACACCTGAAGAGTGCCTCTTTATGTGTCTTACACACATCCCCAGGGTCTTTATTACTTAGTTATTTTTTTATTTTATAGGATCTAAGAAATTGCAAATTTTACCACTTTCTTTCAATCAGTCTTTTTTTTCAAACTTGAGGATTTTATTTCTATTAATACTAATTATTAATGTTCCTTCCCAAAATATCCTTTTGTGTTTTCTTACATTTTTTTGCAAAGCTAGTTAATTAGCCCTACCTGCAGAGACTAGCTCACAAAAAGATACATTTCTCATACCTGATGGTCTGAATTTTGGTCTTATATTGATGTATCTTTTATGCCCAGGTTATTGGGAATATACTGCAGATACTTTGCTCCAGACTCATCATGAAATACAGTACTTTGGTTTATCATAAATAGTAATATTCTGGTATGAGGTTGGGTTATTAGCCCATAATTTATCATTAACTGACATGTAAAAAAAAGAAAACTCAAGGCTTAAATTTTTATTTTTTTATTTTTATTATTTTTTTAAAGATTTTATTTATTTATTTGACAGACAGAGACATAGCAAGAGAGGGAACACAAGGAGGGGGAGTGAGAGAGGGAGAAGCAGGCTTCCCACCTAGCAGGGAGCCTGATGCGGGGCTTGATCCCAGGACCCTGGGATCATGACCTGAGCCGAAGTCAGACGCTTAATGACTGAGCCACCCAGGTGCCCCAAGGCTTAAATTTTTTAAGATAGTTCCAATGTAAGGATGAAAAATGGTTGTTATTAAGTACTCTTGAAATTTCTTCTTAGTTAGTGGTTTATGTTGAAATGGAGGACCTAAGTTACTGTGTGTGTGTGTGTATATATATATATATGTATATATATATATATATAGGCATATAGGCATTATATATATATAGTGCCTAAACTGCATTTTTAGCATTATTTTACATTTAAATATAATTTTATATTTACATTTAAATATAATTTCCTAGGTTTCTCCCTAAATTTGCTATAATTTATTTTGATGTAGTAGATCTAAATTCAGAGGTAACACATATTTAGATAAGGTTGTCCAGATGTAGCAATACAAAGGTAAAAAGAAATATTAATAATGTTGAAATGTCCAATGATGCTGAGACATAGACATAAGATTATACTGAACTAATATCTATGTACAATCTAGTATTGATTCCTTTCTCACCATATTTTCAACATATCAAGTGCTTATTATTTATTTGATGGAAGTTAAGGTTCTATGAAGAGGAAAAAGGATATCAGGGAAAGTAGTCAAGTAGCAGCTGAAATGCATGGGAAGATTTGAAAAAACTATTGAAAGATGAAAGGAACTATCGTGCCCTTGGAAAACCCCATTTCTTTGGTTCATTCTTTCTAAGAGGAAATGCTGAAATCTGCTCTGCAGAATGTTAAAATTACTTTTGAATTGTTTTTCAACTAATTCAACTAATTTAAAAATCAGAAGGTTTTTACATTAATATCTTTTTATTTTAAAGATTTATTTATTTATTTGAGAGGGACAGAGATAGTGTAAGAGAGAGTGTGTTGGGGGGGTGCAGAGGGAAAAAGAGAGAGAGAAACTCAAGCAGACTCTGATTTGGGACTTGATTTCATGACCCTGAGATCATGACCTGAGCCAAAACCAAGAGTCAGATGCTCAACCAACTCTACCACCCAGGCACCCCTACATTAATATCTTTTTAAAAAGGAGAACATATTAAATCAACACATTGTAGTCAAATAAAATATAGCATGAAGTTAATGGTCTTAGTTTTGTCCTCTTTTTGTTCCATTATTACATCCTTCCAACAATGTCTCCCACTGACCCTCTAGATCTCAATTTAAAAGCATGCTCCTTCCCCAAGGAGGGTTCCTTTTCTCCACTCTGTAAGATATTTTAAGATGCCACCGTTGAAATTAATATTAGAATATACCATTTAATCTAATAGTTGACACATGTGGAGGAATTTGATAAATTTATCAAATATCCATAGCTAAGAAAATATTACCAATAGGCACAAATGTAGAAACAAACAAATTTTTTTAGCAAACAGAGAGCCCTACATGTTGAACAAAAACTATGTGAATGGAGTGGGGGAGAGGGTCATAGAGAGGAAAGGGTTGGGATGGTTGGTTGAGTTAGAATGTATCAGATCTTGACTATAGGCCATGGAAGTTTCCAACTGTTGGCCAGATATATTATGTGGGATATTAATCAGCCCAAAATGATTAGGCAAATGTTGAAGTGAAGAAACTCTAAAAATAAGAAACCACTAGATCTATGACATAGCCAAGCAATGTATGAGGTGACCTGAACATCCATGACAGAGGGAATGGAAGAGTTAATGAATTCAAGTAAACATATAACAAGTGGAACCATTTTATTTCTGAAATTATTAACAATATTTTTTTTTTACCAATACTCCTGACAATATTTTGCAGGCCCCATTTTGTTTGTATTGAAGTGTTTCTCAAAGTGTGTTCGTGGATTGTCAGTGGAGGAAATTTCCAAGACCCTTTCAAGGGGGTTTTTAGTTTAAAACCATCTCATAATAATATCAAGATCTTATTTGCCTTTTTTACTAGGTTGACATTTGCCCTGATGGTACCAAGATAATGGTGGATAAAAGTGCTGGAGCCTTAGCATGAACCAAAGCAGTGGTACCAAACTATATTAGTAATTCATATATTCTTTCCTTGTAGTGGGAAAAAGAAAGTAATTTTATTTACAATGTTACTGATAAAACAGGGGGAAAATATTACTTTTATTAAATCTTGGCCCTCTAGAAGATGCATCATGAAAGAAATTGGCAAAAGAAGCTATCATTTGTCAAATTTTGATGTAGTATCATAGATTTTTCACAATTATCTGAAAAAACTTTTAAAATATCCCTACATTTTGCAAGTACTTATCTTTCTGAGGCCATATTTTATTCATATACTTCAACTGAAATGACTAATTGCAAGAGATTGAACTCAAAACAATTATTCAATTATTGAGATTTACAAAAGTGTAGAACAATATGCTATTCCACTCACTACTTTCATTTTTGGAAAATTAATTAATGTTCATAAAATTGTGTTATTTATCTGAAAATTGTATGAGTTTATATCTAATTTTTGAATAAGTAAATTTTAAAGTTTCAGATTTAATTTCTAATATGGTGAACATAGCTACATATAACGAACATAAATAAAAGCTCTTTGAGCTTCTCAGTAATTTTTAAGTGTAGTGTTCCTGAGGTTAATGTGTTTTAGTAACATTCATTTGTTGGATCTTCTTTGCCTGATTTCTAGATCTTTCATTTTTCTTTTTAATCTCTTTAAACTCTTTGTTGCCACATCATTTTACTTGCCTTTCCCATGTCTACCCTTTATGGCCCTTGCTGTGTTATGAACAGTGTGTATTCACTCCAGAGATGCTTCTAACTTTTAGCTATGCAATAGTTTTATTTTTTCCACTAATATTTTGCTCAAGTATATGCAAATATGTATATAAACATTGGATGAAACTAGTAATTTTATAGAAACATATAATTAATGAAAACTAATTCCCAAAGAGATAGAAATATAAACAGAATATAATAGGGGAGAAAAAAGTTGCTGAAGATCACAGCAGTGCAGATACCCAGCTGTTACTCTTTGGCATAGCTGAATAGACTGTTGATTATTCTGAATATTAAACTTGCAAAAGAGATCTCTCCAGTAAGAGCATGTGGCCATGTGGTTTCCCAAGAAAACCATCACATCTATAAATAACAGAATTTCTAATGCTATTTACGTTGTTTCAGGAATTAGACAATAATAAACATGCTAAAAATATTTTTAGTAAAACAAACCTAAGCTTGATAACAAAATCCTGAGAGTTGATTAAAATATATAAAGGAAAAACTATCTTGCACATCTATGCAAAATATCCAATAATGTAAATAAATAAATGTAGTTATAAGTCATAAAGAATCCAGTAGCATATGAAAAGATATTAGTCCATAATTAAATGGTTTTTATTGCAGAAAGTCAAAGATAGTGCAATAATAGGAAAGCTATTAATATATTTTATCATATTAATGGATTTCAGAAGAAAAATCAGTATTCTTTCCATAGATGCTAAAAAGACATTTAATAAAATTCAACATTTATTCTCAGTAGAAATGCTCAGTTAACATAGGTCTGAACAAACATTTCTTCAACATGATAAAATAGATTTACATTCCTGGATTTTTTGCATATGTATCCAAATAGTTTTCCTTTCATATATTTTAATGATTTTTTAGAATTTGTTATAAATTACACTTGCTTTACTGAACTCATTAGCCAGAATCCTGCTTAATAGAGAAATGGTATAAATAATTTCACTAAAGAAAAGATTGCTGTTGTCACTACTATCACTTAATATAGATATAGAGAGATAAATTATTACCATTAGCCAAGAGACATAAGAAAGAATAACCAGGAAAATTCTGAGAAAGAACCATAATTAAGGAGGACTTATCATACTAAATTATAAAATATATAATAAAGCTACATAAATTAAAACTACCCAGATAGTACATTAAGACAAACTATATAATCTACAAATTGATTCACTTTCATATGGGAATGTCATATATGAAAAAGATGGCATTTCCTTTGAATGAAGAAAAGATAACAATTCAATAAAACCTTTGGGAATAACTGGGTAGACATATGAAAAATAGCACTGTGTGCATATGATGCACATTTTGTTCTGGAGATGTCTTTCTAGTCGGGAAGTGTATGTGACTGGCCCTTCTTGAGATCTGTGTCATAGCCTCTTCCACACACATCTCTACTGATCTTCTCTGCTTTAGGTAGCCCTCCCTCTAACTTTTTGGTGGGGTGGGTTTTAGTGCTTCCTTAATTTTACTGAAAATGAATCTGGTAGTTTTATAAGCAAAACTAGCAGTATGTTTCTGATTTTCATCATCCCAGTTGCTGTTGGACCATTTTTTTGGATAAAAACTGG